AACTGGCATTTTTTATGGAGAATTGCCTTTTTTGTAGCTCTGACAAAACAAAATTGTCAGACATTTTTATTTCAGAAACTGCTAGTAAATAATAGAACTGTAGTTCTAATTGACCACATTGTATCTGATTAGATGGTACTTTCCTGTAAAGCAGTCTTCACATCTGAATTCCCTGTTAAAAAGTTCATTTTTTTAAATCAAGTGCATGCTTGAAAAACTTAGCAATTAAATGCATAAGAGGAGTAAGTACTGAAGACTTCAGTAGAATTTATTGTCTTACAGATTTTCTGTCCATTCATAATTTTAAGTATTGACTCTAGGTTCTCTTCTTTCCTTTAGCACTTAAGCATAGGCTGCTGAAGCTGTAGAGTATAAATCCAAGTAAGGAAAACAGCTGATTATATCACCCTCATTGCTTTGGCCTCTGCAGTCACCAGAAAGGGTCATTTGAGCACTTTCTAATCCAACCGTAGTGGAAACAACATTACCTTAAAAAGCTAAATAGGAATTTTGTATTAACCTGACTGCCTAGCACTTAACCTCTGCTCCTTTTCCTGAGTTATGTCCTTTACTTGCAAAATTGTAAGCTTTCCAAAAGATAGGGTCTTTAAATCTCACAGTTAAATTAAAAAAAAGATCCCAGACTGTGCCCAGTGACAGCTCCATGAGTGGAGATAGAATTTGGAGTTGGGGAAGACTTAAGAGTAGAAGAACAGAAATTAGGGTATAAGTTTAATTGAAATGCTTCTAGCATAGTTTTAAAAGGAGTTTGCACAGCAGAAAATGAAGACTAGAAATACATGGGTTGGGACACTAAGAACCAGTGATATCAAATTAATTGAGGTGACTTCGGATTCCATCTTTTTGTCTTAAGAAGTACTGCTATACTATAAGCTGCTTCCATTTGAATTCATCATTAATTTAAGCAACTGTATATTTGAAAATGTTCTATTTTAAATTTAGGACTTGATAAAATTGAATTTCTTCAGAGGCATGAAAACCAAGAGATCTACCAAAAGGCTTTTGAACTCATAGAACATTATTTTGGTGTTGAAGAAGAGGACTCTAGTATTGCACCTCAGGTGGATGAAAGTCAGCAGCAGTTTGTGTTTCAACAGCAGGAGGCTCCAATGGAGGGATTTCAGCTCTAAACTACTGAAGTGAATATAAGCATAAAATTTAAACACTTGTATGGTGTGGGGTTTTTTTTTCTCAGAGGTCTTTTCTTTATGGCCAAAGTTAGAGGAAAAGCTGAATGTTTTACAGAAATACATGAAGAAACAGCTCATGCACTTTTATATATTGTGTTAGAGACAACTGTTCTCTATTTTGTATTTGTGTTCTTCATTATCTCTTATGTACAGAAAACAACTGTGAGTAATCGTGTCTAAAAGCATTAAATGTGATTTAACAAGAACTGTTTAGCTAAGACTTGGTAGGATTTTAGGTAGAAGTTCAGAATTTTTCATGTAGTCTCAAACTTCCTATCAGCAATACAGTTACTGACAGTTAAAATTTTGGCAGTAGGCTTGACTTGCCCAGTCTCTATCAAATCTACCTCTTGTATTGAAGCAGAAACAGTGCTTCAGAACTAAGGCATGAAATAAAGATGAGCTTGTAAGAAGCTGAATTGGAATGTGAAAAATATTTATTTAAATTGTGAAACGTTTATGCATTACTTACTTTACAACATACTGTTGGAATTTATTTATAAAATGTATTTAAAGACATAATAGGTATACATATATAATGCTAATTGCCTAATATAATATTGAATATATAAAAAAGTTATTTCTGAATTATGCGGGAAGAAGACTATTTCAGAGTTTTTCAAATTGGAATCAGCGGAAACCTTGTTGGTCATTAGATGTTGGCTCTGTAATGAAAGCTGCTAAATGGCATTACAAGTCAGCCACAACTGCAGTACTTTGCAGTGGAAGCAGCCACTGCAGTTACCACAAGAAAGCTGTAATTAGGACTGACAGAAGGGTGATGTGCACCAATTACTAAGCTGATGTTTTACAGCTGTCTTCTGTCAAGATGTGGTAACACCACTTTAGTTTGAGAAATATTGCAATGCTTGCCTTTTAGTACAATAGCTTCTTAAAAGTTTAGATAGTAGGTGTTATTTTTGACCAAGTATGCTACTGCCACTTGAACTGTTCCTTAGGTTAATAAATTTGGTTTGCTTTTGGTAAGACAATAGAAATACTGCAATGAAAAATGAATAGTGAATCAAAATCACACCAGTTGAAGGAAAAGTTTGTTGTACTGTAAATAGCATTTAGTACGTGGACACCAAAACTAACTAGAAGTTACTGTCATCTAAATATTTAGGCTCTACAATATACAGTGTTTGCTGTTAAACAGTAAAAGATACAGAATTCTAATATTTACGTTAACAGTTTTGAGTACAGAAAAGTGTATGCTCTGCTTTGACTTGCATATAAGTAGTGTTTCTGGTGTATTAGTATATCTCATTTGGAGAAATTAGTACTTTGGGTTAACTCTGAAGTATTACTATTTTTTATTACCTGTAATTAATGTATTAACATCAAACTCCTGGGTTAAGTGAAATCTGTGACATATGAGAGCATTTCATGCTTCATAAAAAGCTGCAATTCAGACTTCAAATCACTTACCCATGGCACTGTGCTTGTCACTAAATAATATTTTAATGCACTGAAAAATACAGGTTAAAGGTTGTATCATTTACAGTACCATTTTATATTTAGAATTTTTTTTACATGCAAGTTAAGATTCTAAGATGTTTCACTTTGCTGTTACAGCAATATATTCTATATTGTAATTGAATGTGGGACTTGAAGTGGATTTTCTAAAATTAATGGTCAGTTTTGACTAAGATATAGCTGGGAGGGAAGCAACCTCCCTTTGAAGTCTTTTTAGTGGAAGATAGAAGTGTAAGAAGTGTATATAGGAGTGCTGTTACTTTATGAACTCTGAATAATGAGATATTTTAGCAAATGACACTTTAAACCTAGATTTGTACAGCATACAACAGTTTTGAATAGCGTGATAATATTGAGTACAGCTGCCAAATTTTCATATAATGTTAGGTGATTGTACTTATGCCCTTTTTACTCTCATAGTTTTAGGTTTTCGTACACCAACCTTCATTCTTCCCCATGGTCTCTCCACTCCCCATTTATCAAAGAACAGGGTAACAATCATGAAAATCTACCACGATTACTAGCAAATGCTGAATTTCAGTGTTTTAATGTAAGAAAATTATTCAGGTAACAGGGTATTCCTTTGTTTCTAACAACCTTGTTTTGATAGAAACCAGCTGTGCCTGCTTTTTATTTGGAGAACCCTGTAAAACTACATTTATAAGCCTCTCTTATTTAAACCAAATCTGAACTATGAAAATCTTAATTGAAAGACTTGAAAATGAAGAAAAGAGGCAAGATTTAAAGTATTATATTTGTTTTGAAAGAATGTCTTCATTTGTGTGGGTATATTCTATCTTGTGGACAGTTAGCGACTGCACTTTACACATTTACACAAACTATATTTAATGACTCTGATTCATTTAAATGGAACAATTTGAAAGGGAACTAAAATTGATGGACTTTTAGGATGATGAAAATCTTTATTTAAATTCAACATTTGGTTTACCCTGATATTGTTAAAAAATAATAATGAAGATTGTTTAAAGGATGGTCTCTCCTATTTTATCACTGGGTTTATATCATGTTTTGTTAAAAGCACATAAATGAGCAAAATAAAACTAGAGATTATGAGTTAAGGTCAGCTCTGGTGTACTCATTTGCAGGTAGGGGCATGATTATGATGATGTTACCTAAACAGATGAAACTAGTATGGAGAGAGAAAAAAAACTGTGATTTGAAAATCTCTTTAAGTTTGTCATTTTATATGCAATCTGCAGTGCCCCATCTGGTACAAAGTCTGTTTAAAAATACAAGGGGTTTGGGTTTAATTAAAAAGGTATCATTTGTTCTGCTTAAATGTGAATACTAACTAGCTAATCTATGCAACTATGCAGAGCATAAGATTTTTTTTATTAGTTCCCTATTCTTGTTACACTGAATCATAGCTAATTTTTTCATCATTGCACTTTTGTCTGAGGATTGGTTCATACAGCTTTTTTAATTTTATAGTATTTGCTTTACACACTGTTCCTAGCAGCAATCAGAAAATAGTAATAATGTTGGCACAGAAATGTTTGCTGTAGAACAATTTTGCAACTGGAAACTATTTATTGTTGGGCCTGTCTTTAAAAAAATAATAAAGATGCACTATTGTCTTTCCTCCATGGTTAATTTTCAGTAGGTTTAAATGTATTAAATTGTACAGCTGAGGATTTTTGTAACAGGTCTGCAAATAGATACGTGGACTTAAACTGTGACTTCAAGATTTCACTGAAATCTGGAATGAGAAATTCTAGTTACTTATGGCACAATGTCTTCAGTATATAATGCAGGAAACCTAAATTACCTGTATTAACTTCAGATAGTAATAGTGCATCTTTAAATCCAGGCCAACAGCCCACTACTGTAACAGAACACATATGAGTAGTATGCAATATTATGGAATGTTAAATCTCCAAATACCATACAGAAACCAATAAAACCTATTTTACAGATGTTTACTGTATTTATTTTGTGATTCAATAAGTGTTGCTTCTTAAAGCTAAAAAATGCAAATACCATTTTGAATGCAGCATTGATGCCAATTTGTGCACTGAAAAACTGCACTGTCACCAGACAGAAAACTTCTTGGGTGTAAATATTTTGCGATTATCTAACCAAAGGTACCTGACTTTCTTAGGAAACTACCTCATCCCCTTTAAAACTAATTACTGCTTTTAATCATATGCATAACATTCTAAATAGTTTTAATTATATGCAACAATTATCCAGAATATCTTCCTAATGAAAGAGCCATTCCCTTTCTTTTTGTGATGCTGTAGCTACTCTTACTTTGAGGTGAGCATGCTACAGTTGTCTGTTTAGGGGTGAAACTCACTAATCGCTCTCAGCAGCAGTTAATTTTGCTCTTCCAAGGACATTGAGCATTTCAGACAAAGTTACTTGTTCTTCGCCTCTGCAGCCAGCGCAGCCTCCTCCCGCCACTTGGCCTTCTTTGCCAAGTTCAAGCTCGTTAAGGACTCGTGACGTGCAGCAGCCTGAGGAAGTAACAGCATAGGAGTAAGGATGCACCCAGGGAAAGCTACCCAGCCTAGGGAATGGGTAACAGCCACTTAGGGCAGCTGGGGTTTCGGAGACTAGATTAGCTGAAGCATGGGCAGCTCTAAGCTGCTGCTCTTGGTTTAGATTTGTGTGCTTTTCACAGAATTCCATTATTTTACAGTATGCTACACGGTCATATCTCACCTTTTTAGCTGAAGCAATCACCGCAAAACAGGCAATAATTGAGAGCCCAATCATGATGTAACAGGCTTTCACTCGAGCTTTGTTTCTTGCCTTGTCTAGCATCTCTGGCCTACAATTAAAGTAGTTGAATTGAGTCATTGAAAAAGGCCAAGTATCTCTTCAAAGCATTGCAGACATAACATCACAATTTAAAAATAAATATAGAATTAGCTTCTGAAACAAGCATCTTCAGCTTGCTGTGGTTAGTTTTGTAACAGTCATTTTCTGATCCTAATCCATTTCCCATGGCAAAGCAACACTTAGTGGACTTAGACAGTTTTGGGGTTTTTTAAGCTGGGAAAAAAATTGCTCAGGCAATAAATGCTTGGGGTAAATACACCAGAAATCATACCTTATAAACAGAGTGAAAATTGAGCAGGGTTGTCTGTTTAAAACAGATGGACATGTATATGTGGTGTCGGATGGAGTAAAAGCAAGTTCCCCTTATTCAAAGTTAACTTTAGAAACCAATTACTGCTGTATCTAACCTGTTCCGATGGTCTTCTGTAGGCTAAGGGCTTTAAATCCTCCAATTGTTGGTTAAAGCAAAGTTTGTACTACTATGAATTAAAGGTTTTAGGTCTTTATTAAAGCAGCCTGACAGAAAGTGGGCAGCTGATGTCAGCCACCTTGTTATTTCAGGAGCACACACTTAAACAAGAACAATCTACAGGATTGTTTTTGCTGGTCATCAAAGGCAAAAAATAGTGAAAACTGCTGTCCTCTTTTTGGAAGTAGTTGGTGCAAATAGGTGTTTTACAGCCCAGCAATCTACTTTGGTACAGCTCCCATTTCCACCCTCCTCCCTTCTGGGCCAGCAGTGTGTCCCTGGGAACCAGTAGTACAGGAAATCATGAAAATTGTCCCAAAACATTCAGCTGAGTTTTTCTGAGTCAAGCATTATACTTGGGAGTACAGTTTTTAAGATATTCATAATAATACTGCCTGCGCACTATTTTCCTTTCATAATTCATCATGGGAAAACTTTATATATATATTTATAGATATTTGTAAGATATGACTACATGTTTTATACATATGTATAAACCCACAACTATATGTGTAAAATGAATAGTTGCATAAAGAATTGATTTTGTGTTCTAAGTAAACATGGTGTAATGCTCTCTTTCCTTCAAAAAACCTTTATATTTACTTTAAAGAGCAACAGGGTGGGATGGGGTAGAGCTGGGGATTTGACATGCCCATGTAAGCCTGCACCAAGGCTGAGGACTGCAGTGTAAGGTTCAGTGTGGTGGAAGAGGACAGGTCCTGTTATCAGCAGTGCTCACAGCCCTTCCTTGCCAGCACACACAGGAGCGTGTTGTGCACACTGTGTCTTGCAGGTGACTAACAATGCCTGTAGTTCTAAGGAACTGCTTCTGGTTTGTACAGTGATTAAAATCATCTTCAAAACAAACTGCACATCAGACTGGCACGTAGGATCATTAATCCAATAATCCATTTGTGGCAACAACAGCAAAACCATAAATGTTATTAGTTTGATGTATTAGCCTAATTATATTTCACAGTGCACTAATTGAAACTCCTCTGAGGCAGATTTTCACTTTCTCTCTGCTTTCTGCATCTGCTTTTAGGAAAACAGACCTTACAATGTTCTTTCCTAATTGCATATTAGGGTCTTCTTTGCTATTCAATCCTTATCAAGACTCCAGGTAAACCTCTGCTGAAGTGAGCAACAGCTGGGGCTGAAAAAAAAAAACCCAAAGAAACCACAACAACCTTGAATAAAGCCTGCAGATTTGTTTCATAGTACAAACTATCTTCATCAGATAGGTTGTGTTCAGAGGTAGCAACACCTTGCAATTCTTCTTTTGACAAGAGTTAAAACAGTGCCACAATTCAGCCTCAATGTCTAACAATCAACTACTTCTAGTATATTACTATGTATAGTATAGTATAGTATAGTATAGTATAGTATAGTATAGTATAGTATAGTATAGTATAGTCCTACAATTCTAAAAATACATTGCTTACCCAGAAAGCAAAGTGGTGACACTCACCTGCCAGGCCAGAAAGGAGTGATTTTTGTGCATGTGTCTGTATGACTGACAAATGCCATGTCTTTATAAACATCTCCTGAAAGTTGAATAGCATTTACAACTCCTGAGACATGTCTGAACCTTCCTCTAGAGGAAGATGGTGAAACTAACAGCACAAGACAGGCTAAGCTATCCAGAAAGCCACTGTCCAGCTCAGCACACTCCAGTGAAACTGTCAGGAACCAGCAAGGATAGGCAGAGGATGGACCTGTTGCTTTACACAGCTCTGCACACTTTATTCTCAAGGTGTCACCTAAGGCAGGACATACTGTGGTGATATAGAGTAGTGTCCTGGAGAGATGTCTAACACGCTATCTAACATCCTAAGAAAAGGGAGCCTTAAACATTACAGAGGTTTCAGGCTTCCCTATTTTTCCTCATATTCTATAATAAAAAATAATTTATGGTATGTAATCATTCAGTGACAGCTCCCTTAGAACAGTTTATTCAAGCTGTAAGCAGAAAATATTGTTTACCAATAACATCGTTCTCTGATTGCACGTTAGGAATAAGCAAAACAAACAAGCCAGTACATAAATGTAACCAAGGCTGTCTACTCAGATGGACCCAGTTCTTAATCCCAGACTCTAGGGACTCCAGCAAGGAACATTTTCTCATCTTAACCTCTAACCAGGACAGGAAATTCTCTTGCCCTCTAATTTGTTTCCAAGTCTCAGTGCTGTAAAACCAGCCGTTTTAAGCTCTGTGGAAAAACTTTAAATTTTCCACAGAATCAGGATCACACCGCTGCTTTCCCTTCAGCTCCATTACCCTTGGACAAGGCCAGCACACTTACGAGATCCTCAGAGGAATCTCTTCTTCTGTCTTGAAACGTCCAGTCCAGAGGAGGATTTTTTTGTCAAAATTCGAAGGTTTGTAACTTGCAACCATCCTGTGAGCCTGCTCAGCTTAAAGAGTAAAAAAAAACAACTCACTTGGTAAACTGTGCACTAAGAGAGAATTAAGACTGATAGCAAGGTATAGAAGGGGAAAACCCTCCCCATTTTGGTCGCTGGAAGAGGAATTTAGGGATTACATCTCCAGGTCTCGGCTACGCAGAGTCACCTCCGCGCCGTCTCTGGAATATCCCCGCACGCAGCGAGTGTTTCTGCGGGTCTGCTTCGACCTCCCGCCGGCTGTGGGTACCCGAGCGAGCAGGAGAACGCTCGGGACCACCCGAGCTGTGGTGCCACCGGCGGGCCGCCCACCGGGCAGCCCTGCCTCGCTCCGTCCCGGTCCCAAGCCGCCCGCCCGCCCGTCTCCCCGTGGCCCCGGGACGCCGCCGCGGGGCCGATCCCGGCGCCTCCGCTTCCCCCCGCTGCTGCGGGCAGCCCCTTACCGCGGGTGGTGCCCGGGCTACGGGCGGGATCCCCGGCGGCCGCGGCTCCCCGCGCGGGCGGGCGGAGCGGCGCGGCGGACAGCAGCCGCCCCGGGCGGAGGCGCGCCGGCAGCATGGCGAGGATGGCGAGGAGCGGCGGGACCCTCTGCGGACCGGGACCCTCTGCCTCGGCCGGACCCTCTGCGGACCGGGACCCTCTGCCTCGGCCGGACCCTCTGCCGCAGCGGGAGCGGCCCCCGCCCCGCCCCGCCCCGCTCCAGCCCGCCCCCCGAACCCTCCCAGCCGCGCCCAGAGGAGAGGCGAGGAGAGACGGGACGATCGCCGGCACCCGGCGGGATGGGTCCTCCCGAAAAGGCATCCTGTTCACGTACCGCTCTCACGGATTGCAACTCAAGCGAAGAAAGGTCACTGTCCGAGACAAAACTCGGCTAAAGAAAACAGACGCGGTAATTCAGCTTCATGTTAGGACGCGCACATGCTGGAGCGAGTCCTGCGGACGGCCACAAAAACAGCCAGAGACCAGATGCACTTCTCCCGTGAAGACAGGCTGGGAGAGCTGAGGTTGTTCAGCCTGAAGAAGAGAAGGTTCCAGGGAGACCTTACAACACCTACCGGTCCCTAAAGGGGGCCCACAAGAAAGATGGAGAAGGGCTTTTTACAAAGGCATGTAGTGATTTCTATACCCTCATTACAAATAACGCTTTAAACTGAATCAGGATGGGTTTAAATAAGGAAGAAATTATTTCCTGTGAGGTTGATGAGACAATGCCACAGGTTGCTCGGAGAAGTTGTGGATGCCCCATCCCTGGAGGGTTGGATGGGGCTTTGAGCAGCCTGCTCTAGCAGAAGGTGTTACTGCCCTTGGCAACTAGATGATCTTTAAGGTCCCTTCCAGTCCAAACCATTTTATGGTTCTATGTAGAGTATAATTCTGTGACACAAACCTGCCCACATCTGCATTTCTGTCATTTTACTGCTTTCTGAATGCTCAAATATACTGATTCTTATCATAGACTTTTCCATCTACTTCAACTGAAAAAGGAAAAAAGGAAAACATTGTTGTTTTTCCTTTCACATCCTGGACAGAATTGGTTTTTTTGTGTTTTTTTTTTTTGTTTTTTGTTTGTTTGTTTGTTTGTTTGTTTGTTTTTGTTTGTGTTTTTGTTTATTTGTTTTTAAACACCCCCCAAAAAACCCAAAAACCAAAAAACCTCAGAGAAATCGGCAAAGGCTAGACATTTACTAAGTAACAGCCAGTGTCAACATGATATTCATGACAGTGTAAGATTGTATCAACAGAGCTGTGTCTGGTGCACCAAGCAGTGGGAGATTTTTACTTGCATCAGCCAAAGCCAGAATGGCTGCAGATGAACAGAGGAAGTCCCACTCCCCAGGGATGGATCACTGTCTGGCAACAACTCAAGTCCTGTGCTCACTGTGACAGCACAAAAGAGGAGTTTTGAACTATTTGTAGCCAAAACATCCAGCTATCTTTTCTTCAGAAGCAGAGCATATCACAAAAAGGAGGAGATGCACCTCTTTACATGCACACACACTCCTTGGGCAGCTGTGCCATCTTTCAGAATGTTGTCAAGGAGATGAAGACACATCAACAGAAATTACCTAGAGGATGGTACTTTACCTTTGCTCAAAGAGAGTGGCATAATGTCAAGCAGTGCTCCTTGTCCCTGAAGACACAACTGGGAAGGGTAGGAAGAGTCAGCACACCTCAGTGTCATTCATTATGAGCAGCATCCCAGACACTGCTGTCAGTTGACCCTCCTGACGGTCACCCACACATTTAGAGTCACCGTAGTTCAACGGCCATCAGCAGAGCTGCTGGGAGGAAGCCTGGAGCTCACATTGTTTCCAGCACTTGCCAAAGAACTGCTATAAAGATTGTGGGCAGATGAAAGGCATCTACACAGCCAGAGCTACTGAAATCTTGAGGGGATTATACTCTGGAGAAGAGGATATCAGACACTTGGTGGCCTTCATGGTCTTCATTCTCCCCGAAGATATTCTACATTGTATGATAGTGGCTTCAGAATGCATCATTTAGCATTATAAACAATGGATGACATAAGCCCTAAAAATGTTAAATAATGTTTACATCCAGAGCAGCCTCCTGCTGGCCTTAACAAACAGCATTTTCCCATTTGATTTCTCTGTGAACAGCACTGTGTTTGGAGACATTTGTTCTCTCTATTTCTCTCAGAGATCTAAAACGTGCCTGTGTTAATGTTTTGAGAAGTGATTTCAGGACCTTTCCAAAGTAAGCAAGCAGAACGTGCTCTGGGCCAGAAAATAGAGCTGGTCCCTTCGGTCTCACATGGCCTGACCTATGGGCCATGGCTCTGGGAGCCCTAGGATAAGACTTTGCTATGACTCTGGAAGGTGAATCATGTTCTGTGCTCTGGGGATGAGAATCTGTTTCAGGCTCATTTAATGTCCCTGTGACTGACAAGAGGAATGGTTAGATTGCTGGAATACTTACTGCCCTGGGCAGGAGAATGTGCACAAATGCTACTTAAGCATAATAATCTCCTATTTTAAGCTTTTTTTTTAGGGTAGCACAATCCCTTTATGTTCTTCCTACATATGATCACTTGCTTCTTGCAGAAAAGGCATTTAAAACCATGTAACACATCTTGGTATAAGGTCTCTTTTTTGCTGTCAAGTCAAGCTCCCATACCTGTTACATCCTCTCTGCTCCACCATGGACTGTGCTTTGCACAGATACTGGAGTTGCTGTATAATTAGATGGAGCATGCTGGGCTTCTTTGAAATTCTGCCATATATGATATCTTTCCTCGGAGATACCTCAGTAAAGACTTTCACACTGCTGTCACCAGGCCCTGTTCATCAAGACATTCTCCTCATGTCCTGCAGGATAATCCCCTACCACACACAGCTTTCAATCTAAAGGATGTCTCCATGCAGGCTGAGGTCTATAGTGGAAACAACCTTAGAGGTGAGTGAATTGCTGTTCAAGGCCAAACAGAAGCTCATGGGGAGAGGTAAGGAAATTAAGTAAGCAAACTCAGTTTTAAACATCAACATGGCTTTAATCATTCCCTTTCATACAGCTTCAAGGCATGCTACACTCAACACTTTTGAAAACAATAAATACAGGTACAACAGTCCAGCCAAATTAACTTTTCTAATCAGCTGATTGCTGATAGCTGTGCAATGTAAGCTTTGCTTCTCTCTTTTAGGGGAAGACTTCTTGCTGCATTGGCTGTCACATTGTAGACATTTTAACCTTATGCATAACCCCATATGCAGAAAAGTATTTGCAACAACTGAAGTATAAATAGCATTCAACATATAAATACATACACATAACCCTACAATCAGCAACAGAACATATGTATTTACACAAATCCATATGTAAATTGCACTCTTGCCTTTCAAATGACTTTAAAATATCTTCATAGATACACAATATCAAGGACTTAAGTATTATTTTACAGTAACATGGCACAGAACTTAAATAGCAAAGTTTCTATGTTCTGAGCTTTATGAATATAGAAAAGTATTTTCCTGTTCCCGTATTGACAATGTAGTTCTGCTATTTAAGCTCTGTCTGAAAAAGCTCTGTGGTACCATTATCCTGACAGAAAAATTCTTCCTTCTCTGAATATGCCCTTTGCCTCTCATACAGAAGGCACAGCACAGCTGTGCTCATGGAGCTACAGAGCAGAGACTCATTCTGTGCAGATCATGCCAGGTCATCCTTGTCCTATTTCTGTGTATCCTAATGATGCATTGTCATGTTCTTATTGAAAATCACATTTTTAAAAATATATCACAACCCCCTTAAATTTTCCAGGAGGCACTCATGCTGATACTAGTCATTACATTATTTATGCTAATGAAGGGAATCAATTAGTGATTTTAAGTTTTGACATTACACATTAACATTACACTCTCAAATAAAAGGATACCTGGGGCTCGCTCTCCTCATGCATCAGAGAAGGTGCATGAGGTGAATCAGTGTGTTTCTTCTGAGTATGGGGAAAAAGGCAGATGAACATATGAATAACTACAGAGCTCCAGCAGAATTCTCTAATTTCTTCATAGACTTGCCTGTAGTTCATTACTGTGCTGGTAAACACAAGGAACCTTAAATGTTACTACAACACTCATCTGGAATAAGTCGTGCAATATTGGGGAGGAAAAAAAGATTCACTTATACCAGATGAAAAGAGTTACTTTTGGAAGTTTGGAATAATGGAAAGCCTATCTTAAAAGTGGAGACCAAAGGACTGGACTTGTTTATCTTGGCAAACAAAGGCTGAGACAAGGTTCTCTTTGATCTGTAAAATGGGGCCAAGATGAGAAGAAGAGCTCCTTAAACAACTGAGCATCAAAGAGGCAAAAGAAATGGGGAAACTCTTATAGTCCCACTTAGACTGTGAGATTGAATTTTGTGTTGCTTCTGCCTCACTTGAGGAAGGGAAGTTGCAGAATAGGTCCCACAGAAGTTGCAGAATAGGTCCCACAGGTCTATGTGGGCTAGATGGGGAAGGAAGGAAGCTGCAGAAGG